TGAGGAGAATGAGATAGATAGATAGATAGATAGATAGATAGATATAAACAGACTTTTTTTTAGATAATCAACAAATCTCAATTAACCTATATATTCATTAATAAAAAAAACTTTATAAAACGAATTACAACTCCTTCCAGCGATTTTCATCCAGCTGGAATAAAAAATATTATTTCCAAATTAACAATGTGAAGCCTTACAACAAAATTAACTGCAAAAGCAAGTAGACATCTAGTTCGGCAAGCTCAGTGGAATCTTTCTGTAACCTCTGCGGTTCTACAAGGATCTCTGGCCAATGTCGGAATCAATGTGCATACATCTACAGTGGGATAAAATCTGACCGATGCCGATCAAGGTAGTATGTTGAGAAAAAAAAAGCCACTGCAGGCGGAAAAGCACAAACAAAAGCTCGGTGCAACTATGTCAAAATACATGTTAATAAGCTAGAAACAGTGTGGTAAAAGTTTTTATGCTCGCATGAGACCAAGCTAAAACTTTTGGGGAGGGGCAATATGTACCCTTCATTAGGTACCCTTGATTAGATTGATTAGATCTGCAGGCCCTACAACACTTGGTGTAGCACTATGTACCTTCTCAGTCCAGATAATGATCTGCAAACATTGCTGCAAACAGCACAAATATTGTTGGCAGATCAGTGAGGTAGGTTGACATTGTTAGCAGGCTTCGAAGCTGTTACGATGATCTTTCAGAGTTCATATAATACGACACCGACAGAAGCATGCGCACATAGGGATCATTTTCCCAAGACTGCATATTAATAGGCAAATCAGCGACTACCGCTTCCGAGATAGTGGCTTATCTGATCAGGGCTGAGATAATATTTACATTATTGGGACTATTGTCCTCATCTTTGTTGCCATATTCATTACTACGTTCCGGCCGATCCAGTAATATGTCTATATTTCTGAGATGAGGTATTATGTACACTATTTACATTATTCGGACTATTGTCCACATCAGAATCTGTCTATATTTCCATATTTATTTACATTAAATTGTCCTCATCTTTTCAACGTTTCCCTTTCAGAATCTGTCTATATTTCTGAGATGATGTATTATGTACACTATTTACATTATTCGGACTATTGTCCTCATCTTTGTCGCCATATTTATTATAACGTTTCTGTCCTTCAGTATCTGTCTATATTTCTGAGAGGAGGTATTATGTACACTATTTACATTATTCGGACTATTGTCCACATCTTTGTCGTCATATTTATTACAAAGTTTCGGCCCTTCAGTATCTGTCTATATTCTTGTGGTGAGGTATTATGTACACTATTTACATTATTCGGACTATTGTCCTCATATTTGTCGCCATATTTATTACATTGTTTCGGCCCTTAGGTATCTGTCTATCTTCCTGTGGCGAGGTATTATGTACACTATTTACATTATTCGGACTATTGTCCTCATCTTTGTCATTTATTCGGACTATTGTCCTGTGATGAAGTATTATACAGTATTTTTATTCGGACCATATTTGTCGCCGTATTTATTACATCGTTTCGGCCGTTCAGTATCTGTCTATATTTCTGAGATGATATTATGTACACTATTTACATTATTATTTCATCATGTCGCCATATTTATTACAACGTTTCGCCCCTTCAGTATCTATCCATATTTCTGAGATGAGGCATTATGTACACTATTTACATTATTCGGACTATTGTCCTCATATTTGTCGCCATATTTATTACATCGTTTCGGCATTTCAATATCTGTCTATATTTCTGAGATGATGTATTATTTACACTATTTACATTATTCGAACTATTGTCCTCATATTTGTCGCCATATGTATTACATCGTTTCGGCACTTCAGTATCCGTCTATTTTTCTGAGATGACGTATTATGTACACTATTTACATTATTCGGAATATTGTCCTCATATTTGTCGCCATAAGGAATTTTTCCCTCAATTGGATAAAATGCGATGCTGGATAAAATGCCTGATTTCACAAGGGGACTACTTTGAAGGAGTTTGAATAACGAACCTATATGTGTTTAGTTTTCTTCAGACATTGTATAGCAAAATGAGAAACTTTACTAAGAAACACAAGGGACAGGAGGCTGTGGACAGCCATGACCAACCACGTTCTGAAGGGACACGCCATATAGAAGAAGAAGAGGAGTGTCTCTCACTTTTAGTGACCATTTTGTGTGCTAGAAGATTGTTAACTACGCAACAAGATTCGCCCTCCCTTTCACACGTAATTGTTTTTAATCCCCCGGGGTGTCTAGCCACCCTCCTCATCAAAGCGGTATAATTGAAACTTTTCAGTTCCTGATATACACACATACACACCGTAACTCATATACATATACACATATTACTATAGAATCTGCTCTATTTGCTTTTCATTTTGCATTCTGGATATTTTATTAAACGTATTGAATAAAAGGTCGGTGTTTACTACAATGAAACAGAATTAATGAAAAACGCACCTATTTGAATTTTGTTTTCTACCTACATAAGTAATTCTAAAAAACCGTGATGCCTTAGACAATTAGTGGCCATAAAATAAGTTTATTTATTCCTTACAACCAATATTGGCTTTGTGGCTTTGGGAGTAGTGTCGCATTAATAGCGCCATTAAGACCATTGAATTATTTAAGTCTTATTTTGAAAAAGTTTTCGGAGAAAGCCTCTTAAAAATTTCTTACTTTCTCTATAGAATGCTTGTCAGCAGAATTAACACACATCTGCCCCCACTATATATATATATATATATATATATATATATATATATATATATATATAAAAGAATAATCACACATAGAATTAATCAGAAGTATCAATGCGATTATTGGCAACATCCATCGCTAGAAAACAATATATGCATTAAAAATCCTGTTCATCCATAGTGCGAGTTTTGATCCTTGAAGAAAAAACTTGTTGTCTGTAGTTTTTCAGTTTATTTGATGTTAAAATGCTAGTACTTACGGACAATCTTCCATCCATCATCAGGCATGTGTGTTTTTTTTCCTTATAAAATCAAAAACTTGAGACGATATACCTGTATGTTGATTTTTATATATATATATATATATATATATATATATATATATATATATATATATATATATATATATATATATATATGAATAAAAAACACACATATGAATAAAAAGAGAAGAGAAAAAAACTATTTTTAGACGCGTTGCGTCATTTGAGGGACTTGTTTTTGTCAAATGTAAATATTTATTTTGTTGCACGTGTTTATTTACAAGGTATTCTCAAGGCTTTTAATTTTGAGAACGTTCTTGAATATTCATCGGTTAGTAGAAGGGTCAACCAAATATGTGAAGGCCACAAATTTCATTATTCAAAGCCCAGTAAAGCAAAAACGACTAATATTCAAGAATTTTTTTCATGAATTTTTCAAATTATTCAAATTGTGATTAGATTATTATCATTTGGAATGGCCTAATGTGCTTTAAATTTTCAAAAACCTGACTTAAACTTCTTTTGAATCCACCTCAGTTATGGATTAATTAGCAAAACTTATAACACTAAACCATTTTCTGGCTTTAATACAGTATATAAAAGTTCAGTACTCTTTTCTTTGTTATTATCTAATTGCATCTGTCTATTACGGTGGAGTAATGGATAGCGGCTCAGATTGAGGAATCGTAGAGACGAGTTCGAATTCCAGTCAAATCCATTACTTTCACTTACGTGGTAATACTCTTGGGAAAGGTATGAATCCTCTTCTCTCTTCAGCTATGGGCAAATAGCAGGTCAGACCGGGTTCTATAGCCTTGGATGGCAACTGGTCTACTGCAGAAAAAATTGACAACCTACTGCGGGAAAAAATCTGCCTCGTCAGTCATGTATCAAAGACACATGATCGCCTAACCGTGTACTATGCATGGCATATAACAGAATACTTTGCTTATATTTTGGAAGGGATCTTTCACTGATGGAAATAAAAATATAAAATGAGATGAAAATATTTATCAACAACTCACTTTCTGGAACGTCTACGATTTTCTGTAAATGTTTTTTTCTTAAATATGTCGTGAAAAAGGGCGACAGTGTGTACCACCCAGTGAGGATCGAACTCACTATTCAATCGTAATTGATCTCGCAAGGAAAGATTGCTAACCATTATATTTAACGGCCCCAGCCACGTTCGTCGTATGTGGCACAAGGCCGGTTTATTGTGGGTTCTCCGAATATTCCCTTCGAATCCGTATAAACGGGTTCAGGGTCTGTCTACCTCCCCGGACGAAACTTTGCCCTTCGGCAAAGCGTCGACCGGGTTCCTCTCCGCCGGGGTGGAGAGTTCGACAGTAACGAACAATCTATTTAACTGTTATGTTTAACAGAGCCCCCCCCATCCCCACGAGGGATGTATGTGGCACAAGACCGAGTTTACCGTGTGTTCCCCCATTCCCTTAGAACCCATATAGGGTTCAGGTATGTCTACCTACCTGACGAAATTGCCCCTTCGGCAAAGCCTTGTCCGGGTTCCTCTCTGCTCAAGACCGGCAGGTAATGAACAATCTATTCGACTGTTAATATTTAACATCCCTCTCGATGTTATGGCACAAGGTCAAGCCCGTGGGGTTCAGGCTCGGCCAAAAATATTCCTTTAGAACCCGTATAAACGATTTCATGGTTATCTCACCTCCCGGACGAAACCCATCGGTAAAGCGGTTCAGGTCCTGTCTAGGCCTACCTGACAGTTTAATCTTTGCCCTTATTCGGTAGCTTAGATGCGGCGCAAGGCCGAGTGTATGGCGCATCAGTGAGGATCGAACTCACTACTCAGTCGTAATTGATCTTGCAAGGAAAGATTGCTAACCATTACACCACGTCGAAGGGCCCAAATGACTTTATGAGCGTAGCTTTGCTGTGGGACAAGGACGAAAGTGTGGAGCACCCAGTGAGAATTGAACTTACTCTTCAGTCGTAATTGATCTTGAGAGACAGGCTTTCTAATCATTACACCAGGCCGAAGTGCCCCATGGTGATTTTGGCATAAGGCACGAATCGATGAGGCTCCCAGTGAGTATCGAATTCTCTACTTAGTTACGAGTGATCTAGCAAGACAAGTTTGCTAACCATTATACTATGTCGAAGTACCCTATGGTGCTTTTTTTTACACAAGGCTGAATGTCTAGAGCACCCAGTAAGGAACGAACTCACTATTCAGTCGTAATTGGTCTTACTAGACAAGCTTGTTGACCATTACACCACGTTGGAGTGCACTAAAATTTTATAAGCGTAGCTTAGATGTGCCACAACTCCGAAAGTGTGGTGCACCCAGTGAGGATCGAATTCATTACTCAGACGTAATTGATCTTGTGAGACAAGGTTGCTAAACATTGCACAACGTCGAAGTGTCCATGAAGACGAATCTGTGTAAGCTTCTAGGGAAGTCTTGTTGGTGCCGCAAGGGATGTCCAAAAATGTCTACGGGGGCCATGATTATTTTATTACTGTGTCATGCTGTTTCGTTGTTCTTTCAAAGATTTTGCAATAAGTTAACTTGTGCGTCTCGAGCGGATATGATATTTGTTTTCTTTATAAAGATTTCTGTAAAAAAGAGGAAATTTAGAAAATTTCTATGACAGCATTTGAAAGTTTCCCGGTCAGATTTGACCCCAGAGACCCGTACAGGATAATGAGAAAATGATAAACTTATGGCGTGAAGCGATTAGTGGCAACAAAAACCTAATAAAGACTGATAAAAATCAATCTATCACTCGAAGTTCAAGAAAGGATTGTATGCAAGGGAATCAATGTTGTGAAATAGCTTTAGACGATGGCGATAAACAAGAAAAAGAAAGCTGCTCAGGATCTTCCTCCTTCTGGTTTAGTATTGCGCAAAAACTTCACTTCTCGTTCGTTAATTGAATTTAAACTGTAACGGGAGAGAGAGAACTAGGGAAGAAAGATTTTTTCCCATTTGTGCTTTCCCCGTTAGGAGGATTATTATATCCATGACATAATAATTCCGTAGTTCACAGACCGAAAAGGATAGCTGAAAGAAAAAGGAATGACAAACATGCTTTTTATTTTTTATATATATATATATATATATATATATATATATATATATATATATATATATATATATATATATAATATATATATAGTTCCAACAGAGAAAAAATGTATATTAAAAAAAGTGTAAAGCAAACGTTTTGGTTGTAATGTGGATTTATTGAGAAAAAATATTATACTTTTTTTTAAAAAAAAAATTAATTATTTTTAATAATATGGAGAAATCTCACTTTCACCTGAAGACGGTTTTGAGACCAAAAACAAGTGTCGTAAAAATGTAAAACAAAGTATAATATTTTTCTCAATAAATCCACATTAGCCAAAAACGTTTGGACCTTCTTCTTTTAATATATATATATATATATATATATATATATATATATATATATATATATATAAAGCAAAGTGTAAAGAGAATAAAAGTTCGGTTTGGACGAAATAAAGAGTTCGGTTTGGAATTCCAAATCTCCCGAAGAAGGCCGGAGTATACAACGGCCGAAACGTTGTGAATATGGCAATGAAGATCGAGGATAACAGTCCGAATAATCGAAATGACGTAAATAATCTTAATACCTCATCTCAGAGATATAGACAGATATGTAATTAAACTTTAGAATTAATTTAAGGGCTTTGAAAATATTACAGCAATGTCATTGTTAGGATCGACAGTTCAACAAACCCAATTGCATTTTATATTTATTACGTCCAAGAAATTAACTTCTGTGTTGTTTCAAATAAACGGATATATTGGACAAAAAAAAAACAAACAAAAAAACAAAACAAAAAACAAACCGACCCCCCCACCAAAAAAAAAAAGAAATAAAAAAGACAGTTACAGTATTTTTCGGCTTACAAGATGCTTATTTTTCCTAAAAATACCTTGGATAATACGTGCGCGTTTTCCAAGACAAAATGTAAGGCAACGCCGATATGCTTGCATGGTCACGTAATTGGTTTGACTGATAGGGACTTGGATTTGTATGTTGAGTCATTACACTATAATCTATCTTTATTCAGTCTTTTATATGATATAACCTCAGTACTTAGCTGTTACAAATATTTCCAAGACTATAAACCTTCCTGAAGCCGAGCCACAACCTTAAAAATCCACTGTTTACTGTGCGGCGGGGGCTTTTCTGTTCTTGACTAGTATTTCGCTGTCATGCAAACAAAATCGGACGAGTGATTAATGTAAACAATACGTCGCACCAGTATGTGAAGGAAGCATGGTAAATGTGTTTTTAGATGAGATTGACTTACTTTTTCTTAGAAACCTGTAAATTAGCTGAGGTCAGAATAATTTAATTCAAGGCAATGGTTAAAAAGCATTTCAAATCATACGAAATAGAAATGTTACAATACTATATTGATAAAATGCTAAATAGATAGTCCCAGTTATTTCCCTTTAACTCAACACCCCAAGTTGAAGAGGCTTGGCACGTGGAACTAGAACACTCATAGAATGCTAAACAGATAGTTATATAGGAATACCCTCATACTGAATAGTTTTGAGTTCAATGTAAGACACTACCTACAAGTAAAAGGATGTGCCATGGGCAATATTGCAGCTCCATCATATGCCACGATCTTTATGGGCAAATTTGAAGAGACCCATATTTATCCTTCAATCGATAATGACTGCATGTTCTAGGCAAGATCAATGATATCTTCTTCATACACAGGGGCAGTGAGGAAAAAATTGCTGAACTTTTTATCACCCTAAACACAGTACATAACTTCATTAAGTTTGACCACGAAAAAACTACAAACGATACTACACACTAAAATCACCGATACCTACGGCTACACATTAAAAAACAAACCAAACCAAACCAATCACACCTGTAGTTCACTGCTATTAGCAAGCATGAATTTTTTCTCCTGATAATGACCATATATATATATATATATATATATATATATAAACAAACTCATATATATATAGAATGAACCATAAAATATTATAAAAATATATTTTATTAACACTCTCACACACGCCCACGTATGCACACATATGTACATGAATATTTAGACACACACACACACATATATGTATAAAATATTATATATATCTATAAAAAAGAATGCATAAACATAAAAATGTCTTAAAATATACATATATATATAGCCGCACGTATATATAGATATAGATAAAATCAGAATAAAATAATAAATGCATATATATATATATATATATATATATATATATATGTGTGTGTGTGTGTGTGGGGCCAAAGTTGGGACCACAGATGTAAAACACGGAACACGAATTAGATGTAAGAAAGATATATTAACAACAGGTTACAGAGAGAGTGTAAGGAGCTTACCATATGTTAATTTCCAACACTGGTAGTGTACTGACTCTGTGTCTCTCTCTGTCACTCTCTAGAGTGTTATGTCACCTACTTAATATAGGCCTGGAAAAGTCTATTGTGTAAGTAGTTTCCGGTCTCCAATAATATATATATATATATATATATATAATATAAGTATATATAAACATATATATATATATATATATATATATATATATATATATATATATATATAAATATATACCCTCACACACGGTACACACACACACACACATATATATATATATATATATAAGTTGTCCATAAATTCCGTGTGCACTTAAAAAATGTTTTTTAACTTTATTTGTATTTGCGATAGAAATATTCTGTAAAAAATGTTATAATACATTGTTTCAAGAAGATGGAGCCCCTTGTCACTTTGCTCTGTGTTTTAGAGAGTTTCTAAATCAGGAATTTCCTAAAAGATGGATCGGAAGGGGTGGACCCTTTTATTGGCCTCCACGTTTGCCAGATTTGACTCCATTAGATTTGTTTTATGGCAACATGTAAAAACAATTGTGTATACAACCCAGCCTAGTTCATGAGGAGATTTGATAGCTAAAATAACTAATGTGATTTCAGGCATTACTGTAAATCAGTTGGCAAATGTTTTCTGTAAACTGCAAAATCATATTACCCTGTGTATTGCTAATGATGGAGGACATGTGTAAACTTAAATAAAATTTCAGTAAAACCTTAAGATTTCTTTCTTTCTAATCCTTTTCACAAATTATTTCTATCGCAAATACAAATAAAGTTATAATTTTTTAAAAGTGCACACGAACTTCATGGACACCCTGTATATATAGGGGTTTGTAAACCTATGATCCTGCGTCATAAACCAATGAAGATTTGTTTAAATGTAATGAAAAATGCATTAATTTGTTTTAATTTTGAAAAAGATCACGTCCAAAACCGAAAATTTGATTTTGCCATATACGCAATAAGAGGAAAAATTTAAAATATTTCAGAAGCTTTATATTTTGATTTGCTAATGATGTAATTGAATAAGACTTTTTAATAGTTTATAACTATAGCATAACATACGAATAAACAAAACAGCTAACTTGCATATACAATCAAAAACTTAAATTTACAAGTAAAAAGAGCTTTATAAAGAAAAAGAACGTGGAATATTAAACATAATTATTGCATAATATAAAATTAGTGTGTTGGAAATATAAATGTAAGCTGAACTTTATCTTTTTGCAGAGGTCATAAAGATCTGCAAAGTGCTTGATTGCTCGCTCTGCGCACTGATTTTTTCTGGGAATTTCCAGTTTACCTTGTTCTGAATTCCAAATCTTTTTAACAGTGTTCAATGCATTCTCATCACCCTCAAACCAGCTACATTCCTTCTGATAAACATCTGCATTGTAGATTTGGTCAGCAAACCAATGGTCCTCCCATCAGTAAGAGATGATTCTACATATTTTGAGTAGTTTTTTTTCTCTGGTAGGAGAAAAAATACCAAAAGAGTTAGCATTACTTTAGAATTTCATCTTTCATTAATTAAGTTAGGAATTTCATCACGCCATCCTGCAGTTTCAGTAAGCTCTCCTTTACCATTCTTTACCATTCTTCTTGAGCTGTTTGTAGTTATTTACAAATTCACAGATAAACGGATATTCGATAATGGACGAAGTGTTGTTTCTTTAAATTTCCTCATCCATTACTACGCAATGCACATGGTCAAGAACATGTTATTGACAGCCAATGAATTGTCGGTTTGCCAGTTTCTTTTGAGCAAATAATCTTTGTAACTGAATGAAAATCCCATTCCTGTTTTCAGTGTTCACATTCGTAGTGTCCGCAGCAGCCATCTTGATGCTCTTCCATAAATTGAATTCATCCAGAACAGATGTTCTTTCTTTGACAACAATATCCGCTTTTCTCTTTTGGTAGATGTAATACTTTTAATTTATCTTCTCTTCTTTCATTCTTCAAAACAAGAATTTTATATTATTGGCCACCAGTTTGTTTACCATCAAAATGCAATGACCAATTTTTTAAGTGTAGTGTTTTCTTCATTTCTTCTTTAAGTTCAACATCTTCTTTAATAGTG